AAACTTGTACATAAAAGCATTAAATATATCATAGCAGTCGGGAGCTGGTTATACCGTCAACATCTTTTTACAGTTAATACATTTTAACTGAATTACTAATATTTTCTTTTTTTTTTACGATCGTCAGTGCAGAACTATTATTGCCTCTGTAGCAGCCAGTTGAAAACCTTCAAAATGTTATTCTCTTAATTTTACAATAAAACATTAATTTTTGTAACCAAATTAGTTTTTTTCTTTCTTTTTAATTGAGGGTACCATTGGTGTGTGTGTGTGGGGTGTGTGTGTGTGTGGGGGGGGGGGGGAATTGATCACTGTTCATGGGAAATAAAATCATTAATTTACAAATCACAGTAAATAAAACTTGAATCATATCTCACTGATAATGCAAATCAAAATCTTGATAATCACGAATCACCGAGAAAAATACTTCGTTTCACAAAGGGCAAAGAATAAAAAGGTACATTCACGAGTCACGGGAATGGGGTGCTTCACAGATCACTGTAAATGATATGAACATTTCACGCATCACGGGGAAATAAAAAGTGGCTTACACAGGTAACTAATTCGAAAATACGTATACCCCATGGGACACATTATGTGAAAAAGTTTTAAAAAGCATAATAATAATAATAATAATAATAATAATAATAATAATAATAATAATAATAATAACTAGAGGATCAGAGAGGCGATACCGCCTCCGGATATTGTACCACCAGCTGGAGTAAGCGCATTCGAATGGATCCCCCCCCCAAAAAAAAGGGGCACCACCACCAGTCTTGTGCTTGACAAGCTGTATTAAATGCAATCAATAGGAATTCTCAAAATATGCAAAAAAAGAAAAAAACTAAAAATGGTACAATCAAAGTTCAGTTCACTGTAAAAAGTAGGTCAAAGGTCAATTTTAAGGTCACAGTAAATTGCCAGTATATGACTTCCTATTCAAGTTCAATGGTAACTATGGACCTATCTCTTCCAGTTTTGGAGATAAAAGAGAACCAAAATTTGCAAAGTTCAATTCATGATAAAAAGTAGGTCAAAGGTCAATTTCAAGGTCACAATAAATTGCCTCTAATGACTTCCTATTCAAATTCAATAGTAACTATGGGTGTATCTTTGCCAGTTTTGAAAGTATAAACATTAAAAAAGTTGCAAAGTTCAGTTTATGGTGTAAAGTAGGTCAAAGGTCAATTTAAAGGTCACAGTAAAATTACCAGTACATGACTTCTTATTCAACTTCAATAGTACCTATGGACCTATCTCTGCCAGTTTTGGAGATAAAAAGGAAAGACAATTTGCAAAGTTCAGTTCATGGTGAAAAGTGGGTCAAAGGTCAATTTTAAGGTCACAGTAAATTGCCTCTAATGACTTTCTATTCAAATTCAATAGTAACTATGGGTGTATCTTTGCCAGTTTTGAAAGTATAAGCATTAAAAAAGTTGCAAAGTTCAGTTTATGGTGTAAAGTAGGTCAAAGGTCAATTTAAAGGTCACAGTAAAATTACCAGTATATGACTTCCTATTCAACTTCAATAGTACCTGAGGACCTATCTCTGCCAGTTTTGGAGATAAAAGGGAACGAAAATTTGCAAAGTTCAGTTCATTGTGAAAAGTAGATCAAAGGTCAATTTCAAGGTCACAGTTAAATTGCCAGTATGTGACTTCCTATTCAACTTCAATAGTACCTATGGACCTATCTCTGCCAGTTTTGGAGATAAAAAGAAACGAAAATTTGCAAAGTTCAGTTCATGGTGAATAGTAGGTCAAAGGTCAATTTTAAGGTCACAGTAAATTGCCTCTATTGACTTTCTATTCAAATTCAATAGTAACT